CACCTGCCATTTTATTTTCCCTTGGAAAGAGTTTTTCCTAGGCTGTGGGGATTTTCCTTATCCAGATAAAAACAGAAAACGGGAGAAGTCTACATTTTGGTGGAGCACTGCCGCCCCCGTGTGGATATCTTGCGACACTACAACAGCGGGGTACCCAAGACAGAAGCGTTTCAGGTCCCAAGTTCTGTGGCTTCCTTGGACCCTGAAAGACAGATAGATGTCCACCAGGGCTACGACACTTAAGTATCAGTCTGGAGTGGGAACGGGAGAGCATGGGGCTTCTTGCAGAAGGTACCTTTGGGAAACCGGCCTTAGGGGTGTGTGTGGGCAGATGCAGCCTTCGCATCCTGTCCAGTGCAAGGTGGGCGGGAATAGGCTTTCTCCCTTGAGCTAAGTATACAGAACGGTCTAATTTCAGGGCAGTAGAGGTTGGGGGGTGATTTCTGGGGAATGGAGCAGCAGTGCCTCCCCAGCCGGCTGTCGGGCATGGGTGTTAGCACCAGGGCCTGCAAGCCCCTCCCAGTGTGCTTGGTGGCCTTCTTTTCTGCACCTGTGGTTGGGCTGCGGTCTAACGGCCCAGCCTCCCTCTTCTGGGCACGTGGCCTGGAGAGATGCTATCTCCAACTCTGTATTTTTAACTCCTCTTTCCAGAGGATGTGGCTTCTGTGGAGAGCTTCAAAGGGCGCCCTGTTTGCCCCTGTCAGCAACCATGACGTCACGGAAATGGGAGGGGGCTGTTTAGCCCCAAACACCTGGAGGGAAGTGGGAAGCTCTTTCCATTTCCTGTTCTACTTTTGGCTATTGATTCGGTATCTGACCAGCTTGCCATTTCAGGGTGCAGCTGTTTGTGATTCTTGGAGGAGATCCTGTGCCTTACGTGTCTGTGTGAAGAGGCCTTAAGCTGGCTGTGTGGCTCTTGTGTCCGTCCACAACGCAGGGGCTGGTAGTCCTTCAGGCTGCCCCAGCGTATGCACTAGCAAGAGTCACCTTATTCGACAGTCTCTCTCACATTCCCTCTGGAAGGATCCCTTGGGGGACCCAGCCTTAGCTGTGTGTGGGCAGGGGCAGCCTTCACATCCTGGCCAGGGCAGGGTGGGCTGGACATAGCTTCCCCCACCCCCCTGGTACTGAGTAAGCCAAAAACCATTCTTCCCACGTGTTACTTGAGGGAAGTAGGCTTGAGGGGACTAGTATGGGTCACAGGAGAAGCTGAAGTGGACACCAGGTGACCTTTTGGCCCTGGGACGTCAGTGGTCACGTACAACCAGAGCTGAGACGTTTAGAAACCCGTGTTTCCCAGGATTCAGTGGGGCTGTGAGTGCTTGCACGGAGTGCCCTCCCCAAGAGGCCACCACTCGAGTTTTCATTATTCTGATAGATTTGCCAGCTTTCTCTACGCCTTGCAAACGGCGGTGGCTCACCCAGCCACGTCCTCTATTAGTTCCCCCCACTTCTTCCCTCTGGAGCTCAGCTCCCCCCAGGACTAGTGTGGGGGTCCTCATGGGTTCATTTGTTGGTGTCTGTCGGGTGCCAGATACTGCGCTATGAGGACATACCAATGAGCAAGGCGCTCCTCCCACCCCAGCAGCGGACACAGTCCGGCACACTTCCCTGCCCGGATGTCACCTGATAGGGAAGTGGTGTCAGGGTTTCACGTGAGACTTGGCAGTTGAACTCTATGGTGTACCCCAGAGCAAAATGAGAAGGAAAGCTTTAAGCCTCAGAGGGCTGCCTGGGTGGTCAGAGTGGAGCTCCTACCTGGATGCTCCCTAACACAGGCCTGTCCAGCCTGTCTGCTTCCTGTCTGGCTCAACCTTGACCCCAGCTGCACTGGGAGGGGGTGGACAAACCTCTGGGGAAGTCTCAGAGCACCCTCCACATTCTGGCCTTGGGACACGGAGGCCCAGTTTTCTACTGCCAGAGTTGGTCTACATAAAGCTCTTGAGGGAGCAGGGCCTTTGTCTAGACCCTGGAGGCATCCATCTTACAACCGGCCCTGGCAAATTGTTTGCTGCGGATGGGTGCCTTCCCTCTGTGAGCTGGTCCAGGCTGGTTAGGATGCAGCAGCAGCTTTGTGACCACTGTCTCTTTGTCGTGTCTTCAGGTTTCCTCAGTAACTCCTTCCTTCTGGACTAAGCAGTGGTCGGCCTAGAGCCCGCCATGAAGGAGCCTCTTGCCTGTTCCCAGCACTTGTTCAGCCCCTGTGGAGACAGCCCCCGCAGTGAGGGGATGCTCGTGTTCTGATAAGATGGCCATTTTTT